CCTCCACTTTCCACCGCTCAAATGGCAGAAAACCGTTAAATTCAAATCTGAGATACTAGGCGCACAGAAATCAGCAGAAGGTCGCTGCCTTTTTAAATTCTCGTTTTTTCTTGTTTCTCTTTGTATTTCGTTGCTTTCTCTTTTCGCTCTTCTTTTTCTCATTTTCTACCTCCACTTTCCACTGCTCAAATGGCAGAAAACCGTTATATTCAAATCTGAGATACCAGGCGCACAGAACTCAGTAGAAGGTCGCTGCCTTTTTAAATTCTCGTTTTTTCTTGTTTCTCTTTGTATTTCGTTGCTCTCTCTTTTCGCTCTTCTTTTTCTCATTTTCTACCTCCACTTTCCACTGCTCAAATGGCAGAAAACCGTTAAATTCAAATCTGAGATACCAGGCGCACAGAAATCAGCAGAAGGTCGCTGGTTTTTTTAATTATCGTTTTTTTTCTTGTTTCTCTTTGTATTTCGTTGCTCTCTCATTTCGCTCTTCTTTTTCTCATTTTCTGCCTCCACTTTCCACCGATCAAATGGCAGAAAAACGTTAAATTCAAATCTGAGATACCAGGCGCACAGAAATCAGCAGAAGGTCGCTGCTTTTTTAAATTCTCGTTTTTTCTTGTTTCTCTTTGTATTTCGTTGCTCTCTCTTTTCGCTCTTCTTTTTCTCATTTTCTACTTCCACTTTCCACTGCTCAAATGGCAGAAAACCGTTAAATTAAAATCTGAGATACCAGGCGCACAGAAATCAGTAGAAGGTCGCTGCCTTTTTAAATTCTCGTTTTTTCTTGTTTCTCTTTGTATTTCGTTGCTCTCTCTTTTCGCTCTTCTTTTTCTCATTTTCTACCTCCACTTTCCACTGCTCAAATGGCAGAAAACCGTTATATTCAAATCTGAGATACCAGGCGCACAGAACTCAGTAGAAGGTCGCTGCCTTTTTAAATTCTCGTTTTTTCTTGTTTCTCTTTGTATTTCGTTGCTCTCTCTTTTCGCTCTTCTTTTTCTCATTTTCTACCTCCACTTTCCACTGCTCAAATGGCAGAAAACCGTTAAATTCAAATCTGAGATACCAGGCGCACAGAAATCAGCAGAAGGTCGCTGGTTTTTTTAATTATCGTTTTTTTTTGTTTCTCTTTGTATTTCGTTGCTCTCTCATTTCGCTCTTCTTTTTCTCATTTTCTGCCTCCACTTTCCACCGATCAAATGGCAGAAAAACGTTAAATTCAAATCTGAGACCAGGCGCACAGAAATCAGTAGAAGGTCGCTGCCTTTTTAAATTCTCGTTTTTTCTTGTTTCTCTTTGTATTTCGTTGCTCTCTCTTTTCGCTCTTCTTTTTCTCATTTTCTACCTCCACTTTTCACTGCTCAAATGGCAGAAAACCGTTAAATTCAAATCTGAGATACCAGGCCAGAAACAGCAGAAGGTCGCTGGTTTTTTATATGCCGTTTTTTCTTGTTTCTCTTTGTATTTCGTTGCTCTCTCGTTTCGCTCTTCTTTTTCTCATTTGTACCTCCACTTTCCACTGCTCAAATGGCAAAACCGTTAAATTCAAATCTGAGATACCAGGCGCACAGAAATCAGCAAAAGGTCGCTGGTTTTTTATATGTCGTTATTTCTTGTTTCTCTTTGTATTTCGTTGCTCTCTCTTTTCGCTCTTCTTTTTCTCATTTTCTCCTCCACTTCCACTGCTAAATGGCAGAAAACCGTTAAATTCAAATCTGAGATACCAGGCGCACAGAAATCAGCAGAAGGTCCCTGGTTTTTTATATTGTTTTTCTTGTTTCTCTTTGTATTTCGTTGCTCTCTCTTTTCGCTCTTCTTTTTCTCATTTTCTACCTCCACTTCCACTGCTCAAATGGCAGAAAACCATTAAATTCAAATCTGAGAGGCAAGCGCACAGAAATCTGCAGAAGGTCTGGTTTTTTTTTAATTTATCGTTTTTTCTTGTTTCTATTTCTATTTCGTTGCTCTCTCTTTCGATCTTATTTCTCTCATGTTCTACCTCCACTTTCCACCGCTCAAATGAGAGAAACCGTAGGTCGAGATCTGAAAGAGAAGCAAGAAAAACGGAATTTAAGCGCGACCTTTTGCTGATTTCTCGTTTTCTCAGATTTGTATTTAACGGTTTTCTGCCATTTGTGGGGGGGGTGAGAGAGGCAACGATGGAAAGAGAAACAAGAAAAAACGAGAAATTAAAAAAAACCAGCGACCTTCTGCTGATTTCTGTTTGCCTGGTATCTCAGATTTGAATTTAACGGTTTTCTGCCATTTGAGCGGTAGAAAGTGGAGCCATAAAATGATAGAATTTAGATCGAAAAAAGAGAGCAGCGAAATACAAAGAGAATCAAGAAAAAACGAGAATTTAAAAAAGCAGCGACCTTCTGCTGATTTCTGTGCGCCTGGTATTTCAGATTTGAATTTAATGGTTTTCTGCCATTTGAGCAGTGGAAAGTGGGGGCAGAAAATGAAAAAAATTAGAGCGAAACTAGAGAGCAACGAAACACGAAGAGAAACAAGAAAAAAAGAGAATTTAAAAAAAGCAGCGACCTTCTGCTGATTTCTGTGCGCCTGGTATCTCAGATTTGAGTTTAACGGTTTTCAGCCATTTTAGCGGTGGAAGGTGGAGGCAGAAAATGAGAAAAATTAGAGCGAAAAGAGAGAGCAACGAAATACAAAGAGAAACAAGAAAAAACGAGAATTTAAAAAAAACAGCGACCTTCTGCTGATTTCTGTGCGCCTGGTCTTTCAGATTTGAATTTAACGGTTTTCTGCCATTTGAGCAGTGGAAAGTGTTGGCAAAAAATGAGAAAAATTAGAGCGAAAAGAGAGACCAACGAAATACAAAGAGAAACAAGAAAAAAGAGAATTTAAAAAAACCAGCTACCGTCTGCTGATTTCTGTGCGCCTGGTATTTCAGATTTGAATTTAACGGTTTTCTGCCATTTGAGCGGTGGAAAGTGGAGGCATAAAATGAGAAAAATTAGAGCGAAAAGAGAGAGCAACGAAACACGAAGAGAAACAAGAAAAAAAGAGAATTTAAAAAAAGCAGCGACCTTCTGCTGATTTCTGTGCGCCTGGTATCTCAGATTTGAATTTAACGGTTTTCTGCCATTTGAGCGGTGGAAAGTGGAGGCAGAAAATGAGAAAAACTTAGAGCAAAAAGAGAGAGCAACGAAACACGAAGAGAAACAAGAAAAAAAGAGAATTAAAAAAAGCAGCGACCTTCTGCTGATTTCTGTGCGCCTGGTATTTCAGGTTTGAATTTAACGGTCTTCTGCCATTTGAGCGGTGGAAAGTGGAGGCATAAAATGAGAAAAATTAGAGCGAAAAGAGAGCTCAACGAAATACAAAGATAAACAGGAAAAAAAAGAGAATTAAAAAAAAGCAGCGACCTTCTGCTGATTTCTGTGCGCCTGGTATCTCAGATTTGAATTTAACGGTTTTCTGCCATTTGAGCGGTGGAAAGTGGAGGCAGAAAATGAGAAAAATTAGAGCGAAAAGAGAGAGCAACGCTCTCCACTTTTATATCCGTACTCAGTCAGTATATAAATATTTGAGCTTATGATTTATGTAGAATTAAAAAAAATTTACATTTTAAGTTTTTTTGCTACATCTGTTATCTACATCTACACCTACAATGTATATTCTACATCTTCACCGTCAGCGGGCGCTCGCGTACATAACGAGGCAGAGTGTGCGAGCGAGAAAGAGAATGAACAGTTGGTCTCTTGCTGGAGGAGGTGGGGAAGAAACTGAAAATTGAGTCTGGAAACAAAATTTGGTTGCTCTAGCTTTTATATTCTCTGAGATCCAGGCGAAAAACAAAACGAATCGGCTATTAATGCTGATCCAGAATATATATACTTTATGGGGTCGGAAACGTTTCCTTCTCTGCTTTGCAGACATCTACTTTTACCACAAATACAAAATATCCTTAACTCTTTTTGAGTACGGGTATGAAAACTGCGTCTCCGGGAAGACGCAAAGAAGCATGACGTAGCCCCAGTGTAAACAGCCTATTAGACCCCTGTTGGCAATCATTGTACAGCTCAGAGAGTCGTCACCTCATAGCTGTTTACCGAATAAGCATTTTCTTGTCTACCTCTTATTTACTTTTAGTGGAAAGGAAGCCATTTGTTCTAACGTTCTTTAAACAAACCCCCAAAAGGTCACTCAACTCTCAAGTAAAACACCTAAAAACCGCATCCAACCTTGACCCAAATTGTGCAAATAAATAATATTGAAATGTCACCTACCACCACTAGCCCCAGCTTGGGAGTCGAGCTCCGTGCAGAAGTCATTCATGCGTGTGTACTTTCTGCTGACCAACGTTTGTGGCCAGAGACGTGCTCAAAATGCTTAATTGGCCAGGTTCCATGGGACAGCCAACAGGTATCGCTCTCTCTATCTTTCTCTTTGGCCAATCTGTATGCGCCGCGGGCAAAGGGTCCATGGGTGAGATATTTTCACTTGAATTATTGTTATCTTTATTTTGTTACATTCGATAGCTGGCAGCAAATAAATATCCAGTGGATAGAAGACTGAACCCAAAGGAACAGTTCCAAATTCCGGAAAAAACTCACAATAATTACGTAGCTCTGACAGCATTTTTCCTTTCCGATTAACCTACTTTAAGCTTTATATGGCTGTCATCAACCAAGTGCGGTAAATTCCCCTTGAAATCGGCAATGCACTCCCTGCTCTTCCAATACAAATTTCTGTATAATTAGCCACAGCGACTGACTGCAGCAGTCCAAGTACGATATTTGGCTGCCCTTCGGGTTTTATGCTGTCCCTCAAAGACCTAATCCAACCAACGAACCACCAACTAATATTTGCCGACACTTATAATGGGCCAATGGTCACGTTGCTAACAGAATTTCAAGTAGCCACCGACTCGCCCACGTTTTGGTATAAATATGCCAGGGGCTGCCTCCACTTGTCATCAGTCAGCGCTTCGCTCTCCACCCAACAAAACCAAACCAAACCCAACCAAACACAAATCAAAATACTCTCAAAAATGTTCAAATACGTAAGTAGTCTTAGCCACATTTTGATAACGTTTGATGATCAACTAATGGAATTTCTATACCTTATTCAGGCCGTTGTCATTTTTGCTCTGATTGCCTGTGTGGCCGCCAAGCCGGGACTGCTCCATGCTCCACTGGCCGCTCCTCTGTTTGCGGCTCCTGCTCCCGTTGTGACTGCAGCCAGTAGTCAGGTGGTGGCCAGGACCTTCAATGGCATTGCGACGGCTCCAGTAATTGCACAAGTTCCCGTGGCTCCCGCTCCAGTTCCAGTGGTTAGGACAGTGGCAGCTCCTTTCGCAGCGCCTCTGGCTGCTCCGTTGCCAGCACCCATCGTCCGAGCTGTGGGTCCAGTGCCAGCACCCTTTGCTGCTCAATATACCGCTTCCTTTGGAGCTCCCTTCGCCGCTCCCTTTGCAGCTCCCTACACTGCTCCCTTCGCCCATCCCTATGGAGCACCTGTCATTGCCAAATACTCCGCTCCCTTGGCCTATGCACCAGCACCGCTGAACTATGCTGCGCCCGCCCTGTGGTAGAATTAACCAACCATCGTACCATGTGTGTTCAATGACTGATAGCCCGTAATAAAAATCGTTTCAATTGGTGAACAAAAAATTGCTTCCATTGTTTGTCCAGGCCACAAGATTGGTCTGGTTTTCAGAGAGAGAGGAAAAGATAGACTATCTTGAAAGGAAAATATATTACGCCGAAGCTTAAGGATAGGCAAATTTAACAGAAAATCCAAATTATATTAAATCTGCTTTATGAATAACTTCTTTGGAAGAGCATAAAGAGAGCATATTGTAATTGAATTGCTCAGAATCCTCTATGGCAGTCAAGGAAGAGCATTCACTGGGGCACCTCGTCCATTTTTAGTTTTCATCATTCTTTCCTCCACTTTTCTCTAAAATCAAAACCCCACCTTGGTCTCCCATATAAAGGGACCAAGGACCATGTAGAGTCAATCGTTTGTGTCGCGTCGTCGGGTCTTATTCGGGTCATTTGTGTTCCATTGTCCCACAGTGGTCCTTCCTGTCCCTTCCTGTCTACGTTTCTTAGAACGAATTATGCCACATGAGTCAGTGTACGGTGGGTGAATGAATGGCAGAGGACTCCTTTGCTCTGCTCCTGTAGCAAATCGTTTTTCATTCCCTTTTCATCGGTATTGGCCATTCATTTGGCTTTGGCAAACAATGAGGGAAGCGAAGCGCACTGAATGACCAATAAATGCTCAAATAATTTCTAGGTTCCCTTTCAACGGAATTTAAACTTGAAGTTTTCCGCAACAACGACAGGAAAAAAAAAGGAAATTGGGAAAGTAATGCAAAGTAGAAAGCGAAAACTTAAACAGCCAAAGAGATAAGAGAAAAACATACACGCAATTTCTCTCTACTCTCTAGCAGCGGCGGGAGGCTGGGAATTTTCCATGTCGACGTTGGTTGATTTTCAACAGCAGCGCAAACGCAGCAAAGTTTATCCTCAATTAAACTTTTTGTTGTTGTGGAAAATTGCGCTTGAAGTTGGCTCCACATCTGTCTATGTGTGCGTATGCTCACATGTATTTGTGTGCGTGTGTGTGTGTAGGCCATACATACTACATACGTCCCATGCCGAACACCCGACCCGCTAGCCAGCTCTACCACAATCCACTTCCTATCTTTTCTCGCTCCCTCTCCCATTTCCATTTCCATTTCCAGCCTCATCTTCATTTGTTGGCTTAACTTTTAACTCCACTTGCCTTAATTTTCGGGCCAAGTTTATTGTTGTTGCTCATCTGCTCGGCACAATTTTTCGGTAATTTCCGCCCTTGTCTATAGAAAAAGTACCTACAAACTCTTAAACTTCCCCATTGCTCTCCTTTCTTTGTGTACTGGCTGGAGGATGGGGATGGCTTTTGCCTAACCATCTCTGAACCTTAGAATTTCATTAGCCGACGCTTCGTATGCGTTTTAATTTGTTGCATCATTGCCTTGTCGAGTTTTTCTTTTTATTGATCCAATACCAAGTTCTGGGCCTTCTTCAAGCCGTACTTCTTCATTACCGGCAAAAAGTTTTTAATGTATATTTTCAAGTAATTACCAAGACCTTTTCCATTAGGTTCTGCACCATGTTCTTGCGGTTCATTTGCGGCTGTGCTGCACTGGCATTGAAGTTCATTAGAAAATGGGGGGATTATTCAATATTAATATAGATAAGTATCTGTAGATAGAAAGCGGAATATTATACAGTTTACCATTATATAATTCTTAAAGTTTCAAGTCTTAGTCGTTCTCGTGCTCATGCTTCTCTAATATCACTCATTGCTCATTTCGATATCTACTCGATATCCAGGCACCACATACTCACGCTGACTAAATTCTTAAAGGACTTTACCATCGACTCGTATGCTCATATGATGGTAACAACAAAAAAACGAGCCGAGCAGACAAGAGCGAACGAGACGTTTGTCGAACCCGTTCTCGGTTGCGGTTGCTTAGGCCCCTTTTGGTTCAACGGGGGAGGTGAAGCGTAGGCGGGGACAGACATGGCCAAATAACGGCACTCAGTCACTCAATGCGGTTGCTTAGCCTTTCAGCTACAGACCGCAAAAATCCTGCAGCCTTTGCTGGCTTTTGATATGACGAGAAGAGGCACCAGCACGGGAACGAGAATGAGAGCGACGCGCATTGCACGGCGTTTGGTATACGGAGTACGTGATTTGTTTGCCAGAGCAATTTACATGCCCCGGCAATGGATGGATGAGAGATGTGCCACCACAGCGATGGGTTGATGGCGATGGGAGATGCCAATGGAGATGTCGAATGTTGGATTCTTCTGCGTGTCCTGGTGGTTGTGGGTTGCTGCGTGTGGCTGATGCCACTTTGACATTTGGCACCCTCAGCGATCCCAAAAAACTAGAAGAAGTCGCGACTCTCGCGTGAAATTTTCCATTTCCGTAAGCCAGGTGGCGTTTGCTTTCCAACGAAACTTTAATCTCGTAATGCAAAGCGATGCGTGGTTAAGCGTCTAAATAATGAGCGACTGTCGAAGCTCCGCGGGCGATGGGGAGACCAATTTGCATTCACACTAAAACCAAATGCAATTGACATGAAATGGAACAACGGAACGACGCAGTCTGAAGCTTAATCAGAACTAATAGAAAAAAGCGCTCATGCCAGGGCCAATGAAACAAAAAGCTGCGAGATGTCGGATTCAGGCACCGCTTGGGTTCCTGTCAATTGCCATGAGCCTGGGGGGATTTAGCTGAGCTAAGCCTTTTCCAATGAGTGGGGATTATTGCATTGATTTTTGTCGATACTCGTATTACGTATACGTATTAGCGTGTGTCAAAGGTGCCCCAATATACTCGTAGGAAAGAAAGGAATTGAAATACCCTGCGAATTTAGATTGTATGTTAGGATATACCATATCTAAGTATTGGTATATGTGCATACCCCTTGAAGGGTAAACTAAATGGGAAATTTCACTTAACTGCATTCATCTAAAAGGACATCAAGATACGAGCAAATTTCCTTGCTCACAGCCTAAACAAAAGGAAAGAATTTCTCGGATTGCCTCTTCCGGCTATCAACCCTTTCTTTGCCTCTATGCATGTGTGTGTGTGTGAGTGTGTACGTGTATGCATGGGTAAGAGGGAGAAAGTTTTTCCAGAAGTTTTTCTATGGGGAAGAGCTGCCTCATGTGTGGGAGTGCTGACACAGCTTCTTCAAATCCGCTTTTGGTAACGAAAACGAAAAATAATTAATTAAGAAGTGCAAATCATAGCAAAATTATGCGGGCTGCCAAATTAAAACGAAAGCAAACGCCACCAACAGACACATCACAGAAAGCCAGGAAATTGTGGGATGTAAGCAGAATTACAGATGTGTTTTCGGCGCCGACACGCGATGAAAGATACACAAAGTGGAAAAGAAGTAGGAGGTTCCTTCCCCTTTCCTTCAGCAGGAAGTTAATGAAGGATTGCGCTGCTTTCTGCTGGAATGTGAAGTATACGTAATGTTAAGCGAATATATTTTTTTAAACAAGATAGACATCTAGAAGTACTTATCGATGGAGATGTTGACAGAAGAATATCTTCAATGTTACCAAAATGCCCTTCAAAATCGCATACATATCGATTGCTATTCGAAAACTCTACCACTAAAACTTACCCGCAACACGTTTCAAGTTTATAAATTCGCAATCTAAAGAACAATCTGTCTGGCTCTAATAAACTACTGGCCAAACAATTTGCGGTCTGATGACATATGTAGGTATGTGTGTACGTTCCTGCACAATTTCTCTTGCTCTGCCATCAGGGGAAAAAGCGAAACTGCTTGGGGAAACAACTGCAACTGCCAGGGCTATTTAAAAGCTTCAACCTCAACTCCAGCTCTCCATTCAACTTCTTGAGTGTCAGCCTGGATTTGGTCTTGGTGGCCACCATTGAAACAGGTTGTGGGCCGGTGCCTCCTCGCACAGTCACAACACCTGAGGGCACCAAGAGATAGAGAGTATATTCCGGCACTATAATCACGAGAGGAGTTCCCTGGGTCGACTCTATCTGTCTGTGTATTTAAACTTTTGTAATAATCTACGGCAAATGCGCAATGTCAGCGTCTTTAGATGGGCGAGATGTTCTCCCTTAACCAACCTAAAAGTTGTGGGGCGCCATTTTGCTTTTGCTATTTGTTTTGCGACTTTTGTTGACGCTGTCTCCGTCTCCGTCTGCTAGATCCAGATCCTACTCCCTGCTCCCATTGCCTGGCGGCGCACAAACTTTACCTTTGGCCAAATTTCATTTGCAAACATTCGGGATAGTCTGCAAATTGAGTGTTTAATTGCAATGAAGTTACACTCTAGACGTCAGTGGCAACATATGCATCAGAGTCGCTCCTTAAGGCCTGTCTCCAGCACCGCGGAATCGAAAAATTCCTGTCAAACTCCACATTTAAAAACTGTGGCAGCAACACGAGTGGAATCCACAGATTTATATCGATAGTTGCCTATCGGGACCGTGTTCGGACTGAGAGAACAGCTGACACCCAGCTTTTTGCCACCACATGCGAACAACAATAAATAATCTCACATTTTTATTTGCCTTAAGAAAAAATGAAAATTAACTAAGTTTACCCCCAGCATAGTCCAGTAGTTTATTAGCCCTAGAAATGTTATAAGAACTCTGCCCCTTTCATTTCACCACCGCCCGATATTTCACAACGTGATCAACGAGCATCGACACCACATTGTATCTTCACGCGCAGCAATAAGACACCCTGCTCTTCTAAGCATAAGCCCGATCATCAACCCCACATTGTACCGCCACCCATTGAAATACGAAGTCGTCGAGTTAGGCAATCATATGCGACCGATCGACGGCCTCAAGGTTAAATATCGCTAGAGCTCGGAAGAACTGGACACTCAGTCCGGAAACCGACGCGAACCAAGCCGTCGAGGCAATCAGTACAGAGAAGGAGAAGAAAGAACAAGTGAAACGATAATAAATATTACATATAAAAATCCAGAGGCCCGGTGATTCCCACCCATTGAATTGATCGCAATTAACTCCCATTCCCTTTAGAGCTTTTCAGCGATCTACAAATTTCTTGTATATGAATCCTGGGTGGACTGAGCTTACCTCACCTCGGTATGAGATAGGTCGTCACACAACTAGATGCCTATGCGTAACCTATGTACGCAAAGAACGCATGCCGCAGCCAGTGTAAGCAACATTTATTTTCAATAATCAGTTCAAGTTTAAGCAGTTTGAAGAGTGCCCCGATTCTTATGTGCTGCGGCGTCAGAAATACATTAAAACTGGTTCCAAAAAGGGCAGCTTCAGTGATAAACATACTCTGAATTATTCTTAAATTATTCAAAATGTTTTTTCTTATTTCGAAATATTTTTCGCCTCAACTTCCTTATGTAGTGCGTTCCGATAGCCACAGCTGCATAGTCTTGAAGCAAGAGTACCCATACTTTCCCATTTAATTAGCTGCGAGCTGATGTTGGGACACAACCAAATGCCAAAGCAATGGGGTACAGGCTTTATTTTTTTCGCGTGACTTTTTATTTATCTCCAGCTTTTTTCGTTGATTTTTATAAAGTTGTTTTCTTTATCAAAAAAATATTGTGCAGAGCTTCCATCTTTATCCGATAGTTCCCAGTCATCTCTGACTGGCAAACATTTTGGATCACAACTAAAATAAATTTTGACGAATCTATTTGTTTTTTTGCTAGCCAGTCTGCACAATAAATTGATTTCAGTGAAAGTTCAGTAAAGGTTTCGATATCGCATCGTATCTCCAGTCGTTATTGAGATCTCTGTGAAGTATAAAAAAAGGGGGAGAAAAGAAGGCGCGTTGTCTCAACATTGTAATAAAAAGTCAAAAAAAGTAAATAAAACATAACTAAAAATTAAAATTTTCACCTTTAGAGCTAACTCGTTGCTCGTCTTTCAGACATTATGGCGTGTCTAAGAGAACTGAAGCTGCAAATCAAGACACTGGAGAAAATCTTCACAAAGAGCCACGAGCGCTTCCAGACACTGAACTCCAGCCTGGACGAAATGGAGTTTCGATTCATCGACGAGAACGGCAAGCGATATGACATCATGGCGAGCATAACACCGGATTACCCCTCGTCGCCGCCACTCTGGTTTGCCGCGAGCGAGGAGACAAGCGTCGTCAGTGCCGTGCAGATACTCAGTCGCACGGATGGGCCCGACAATCACCTGATCTGCCAGGTGCGCATTCTGCTCCACGAGCTCTGTCAGTTGCACAACGTGGCACTGCCGCCCGATGTGGACAACCTGAAGTTTCCAATGGACGCGCCCCCGGCTGAGGAACCACTCGGTTCCTGCGAAGAAGGCGACTCCGATGAAGGCGAATTCGATTTTGCCGCTGGGGCAGGCTGCGAGCAGGAGCAGGAGAGCGATGCCGATGCCGACACCGATATAGATATTTTAATAGATTTGGAAGCTGATGATGATAAGAGCAATGCAGACTTAAAGAAGGAAGATTCGGCCACACTAGACAGGGTGCGTAGACAACTAAGGAACTCCCAAATGGGGAGTTCCAAATACTCCTCTGTACAGTCATCCGATCGCTTGATGAAGGAACTGCTTACTGTTTTCCAATCGGAAGCCGTCAAAAAAGATATTTACTCCGTGGAACTCGTCGATGACTCTATTTTCGAGTGGAACGTACGTATCAAGTCTGTGGATCCGGACAGCAATCTGCACAGCGATCTGATGAAGCTGAAGGAAGCGGGCGAAGAGGGATGCATACTACTTCACATTAGCTTCAACGATAAGTATCCATTCGACCCGCCGTTTGTGCGCGTCGTGTCTCCAGTCATCCAAAACGGATATGTCCACTCGGGCGGTGCTATCTGCATGGAGCTGTTGACGAAGCAGGGCTGGAGCTCCGCCTACACCGTGGAGGCGATGATAATTCAAATAAGTGCCACACTCCCCAGAGGCAGTGCCCGGGCTCTGTTGGATTCGAAATCGTACCAGTATAATCTACCCCGAGCCCTGGAGAGTTTTAAGCACATCATGAAGTATCACGAAAAAGGTGGCTGGTATACACCGCCGAAGAGCGACGGCTAAGGGTTAGGGAATCGCTTTGATCTGAATACCAAACACTACTAACCACAACCCACCACCCACTCAACATTCTACCATAGTCTATACACATTCTCAGAAGAATCTAATCCATTATTCACTAACGAATAAGTACGAAGTAACGAATGTTATTGTTTCCCTTTTTTAAAAAGTATTAAATATTTGAAATGTAATCTCAAGCAGAAGAACAGAAAAATCAGCAGTCGAAGATATAAAATTTCAAAGTTTATTCGTACCAATAGACAAAGGTAAACTAAAATACTGTAACACATACCAAGAGAAGAAAATAATTGAAGACTTGGGCAGGAACTCAGTTGATTAAAAAGAACATTGGCTTTTTAGAATGAAACGAGTGAAATTTTTGGGATTTAAATGTATTCAAATGTTTAAATAAAACAATCAGGTTGAATAATAAATGATTTGTCTTTGTATTCACTTATTAGACAAACTTCTGTTAAAATATAAAAATATAAATATAAGCAACTTTTTTGAACGGACAATGGAAGTATCGAAGCATGGCGCACCTCCTTGCCTGTTCTGTGACTTTCTGCTATCCAGTCTCGTTAAGCCTAGAAGTAATTTTTGTGCACTCTGGCTGCGTATGGGTTCCCCATTTTGTCTAAACACTGCAGTTACTTTGTACTTTCAACTTTACACTTGGAGTACAAATGATGGATGTAAATTATGTATGTATCTGATCCCCCCCATATATCACAGTCTGCTGTTGACTCAAACTGAAACCGTCAGACTCGTACTCTCCCTTCTGGGGATCTTGCCTGAGATGAGCCAATCATTTCACTTACGTTTTCATTTTGTCAAGCGTCAAAAGTAATTTGCATTTAGCAAATATTTACGGCCCGGGCCGTTGGAACTGCTCAGCCATTTCCCATTTCACGGAGAAACATCAAAGTGGCATCCCGCCATGCGTGTCAAAGGCGTCGGCATAGCTTTAAGTATAACTTCCTTGCCGTTCCTTACCGTTCCGATCCGACTGTCTGTCATCGTGGAGTGCCACGAGATGGGGGCACGACACCCTTCCTTTTTTTTCCAGCCTGTGGCGGCTTTGCGGTGCGGAGGCGTCAAAAGTGACGCGGCGTCAACAGCGGCAATGGCAGCGCGGGGATGATGCGACGTGGCTGCTAAAATGAGTTTTCAACTCAAGTGTTCGCCAGGACTCTGCCTCAGGCAGTGGCTAATTTTTTGATGGATTTTCTTTCCTGTTCTTTCTTTATTTTTTGAGTGGTGAGTGGACTTTCCCTCATCGTTTATGTGTCTGTGCTGTGCTCCTGAGGCTTTATCTGCGGCTCTCTTTATTTGTTCAGTTGGGAAAACTTTAAAATGGATGCGAATGCATTCGACAAGTTCTCACCTGCCCGATCGAACCGTGTTCGAGTTATTGTTTCGCTTGCGTGTGCGGCAGCGATAACTTTTGTGTGATTTTTTAGGCGGGGCGGAATTGGTGGCGCTAGTTGGGGCGAGGCAAGTCCAAAAGCTCTACCAGTTGTCGTTGTTTTTGCTTTGAATTTTTCAAATCGTCCCTCCCTGCAACCATTTGGCAAAGCTGTTTCTCGTCTCTACTGCTGCCGCAATGCTTTTGTGCATTTTGTTGCACTTCGGTGTGACGGTGCGGTACGGTACGGTGTTGGCGTTGCCCCCGTGGGTGGTTCAATAAATTGTGGAATCGATGGGCAGAGAAACTTATTCGATTAAATGCCGAGTGGCATGGATCTGGTTTGGTTCTTGAGCGCAGGGTGGCACATTGTATGATTTACAGGAGACCTACTTACGCCGTTTTTTACTACAATTTCCACTTGAATTGCTAATACAGTTCTTCAGCTACAGTTCTGCACCTCCTAAAAAAAGGCAAGTGTCTTGAAGAGTGTCTAAAAATATCTTCGAACAACTTTTCTATGAGAAAACATATCCTTAAGACATATAATTATTCCCCAATAATCTCTCACATGGGGCAGCTCGCCCTTATTCGGTTCCGAAGAGTAGCAGCTCTAGGGTTGCTCCCAATCATTAATCCTTTGCCGAACTCATCTGTCAACCCTCTGGCACCTTTATCCCACACATTTTTTCCCCAACTTGTTAGCATTTTTAAGCACCAGAGTTGTGCTGGGAAAAAAACCTCTTTGTTTTGCTTTTGACGATGGCTCTGCTCTGTCTCCGCCTCGAATGCTCTCCTGCTCCTGCTGCTGCTGCTCCTTCTTCTGCTCCACATGGCTGCAGAGGGCGCGTGCACGTGTTCAATAACAATTGTGTTGCATACTTTAGTGCATCAGGACGAAGGACGCCATGGGATGGAAGGGCATTAAATTTTAAAGTTGAGCTTGCAGTCATCGCAAAGCAGGACGACGACCAAAGCGTCAAACGGTTTACAGCAAATCAATTAGAGCCGAGAACTTTTCCCAGCGCTAATTGCAAGAGATTTCCTTCGCCTCCTCAGCTGCTTTTCCTAGTTTTCCTTGTTGACTTTGTTGTTTGAGAGCGCGCTGAGAGGCAGCCAAAAAACTGAGAATGAAAATAAAATAAGTTTCAGTTGGACAAAGGATGGTCGTACTCCAGTCGCGCTTCCTCCCCCCCTCTGCCCAAAAAAAATTGTCGGGGATTTATCATGGGAGCGCTTTGTAGGGCTTTTCGGCTGGCTCCGTACCATTCTCGGTCATGTCTGCATTGCGTATTTCCTATTCGTGCAGCTGAAATTAATGTGCAAGCCTTTTAATTACACGACAAATAAGCAAACAGCCCAAAACTTTTGCTCACTTTGTAAGAACTTCAAGATAGAGTGGCCATGAAGAATGGATGGGGCTGGGGGTGGCTAGGCGGATCAGGGAGAAAGCCTCAATGAGAGATGAGAAAAATCACTTTGAATTTTAGGGCTGAAGAGGTTTTTCCAGCTCGAATAGAATAGTTCTACAAGTGTTACATTTCTAATTAACAGTCACATGTGGAACCATTAGGAATCATTGATCATTGGGAAAGCGATCCCTGCTCTCTTATTTTCATTGAATTTTTCCAGCCCTGATTGTCCCAAAGTCCGCAACATTAGTTTGGTTTATTTAAGCCAGTTTTCGTGTGTGTGTGTGTGTGTTGGGCACTAATTAATTTGGCTTTGACAGTCAAAGAGTGGCTAAGAAATGGCTGCTGCCTGGTTTTGGGGACACATTTTTGTTCTTTTATTTTTTTTTGATGGTGCCACAGCAATGCGGTTGATTCATGATTTTCCTTTCAGCAGCTTTCCAGTTTTTCCCCTCATTTAAATGTAAAATCATGGGAAAGTTTATCAAAATGCAGCTTAATCAGCTTTATTTGCATTGATAGCATTTGCATTGCATTTTTCAGCGAGTGGAAAACAAAAGGAGCTGAAGGACATGGCTGTGGGGTTGAGGAAAAACGCAGCATGGCGTAAAATGCATTAAAAGCGAGGCAAACAAGTCGGTGCAGAGCATCGGGGGCGGGCATCTGGCAGCAGGACTCCCTCCAGTGGGACTCCAGTCGGAGCTGTGCACCTCACCTCATTCAGAAGTTATGCATTTTCAAGTGTCTGTGCGAAGGTCCTGGCTGGACTGCCGCTGCTCCTGGTTCTTGTCCTGGTCGTAGTCCGTGGCTCCCAGTCGGACGAGACGGCTGCTCCTGTGGCAGCTCCCGCTGTTTACAAAGCTACTTAATCGAAGTGCTGCCAATGCCGACGCCGTAGACGCCGCTACTGGCATATCCTGCACATCCTTACATCCGCCTCTTTTGCTGTGTACATTAAATGCAAAAATGTTTTTTTTTTCCTTTTGGTTTTACCAGATTTCAGCATTTTTTTCCACTGCATCCATTTGGTTTCTGTTTGCTTCCGGTTTTCATTAATGGTCTTAACATAAAAATACAATTTGCTGACGTTTAACTGGTTTGGCGAATGTTAATAAATTTTTAAGCGCTGTTTGATTTCATTTTTTAACTCCCCCCTCCCCCAGCCATCCACACATAACAGATTTCTCCCTACAGTCTCTCCCCTTTGTCTGCCTTATCCAAAATGTATTGAATATTGATTGATTGCATCGGCGTGAAGCTTCTCTACTCCTGCCCCAAGAGCGAGGCGACACCTCAGGCTGCGACCAAGGTGCTGGCTCTCTCCTGTGTTGGTTAAGTGTGCGGCCTAAGGGGCTTCCGCCTGATCACCCTTCCAATCAATCTGTTTACGCTTATAGGATCTGAAGCATTGCTGGGTATGGGGCATTGGGGAATGTGTGGCTGTGTGTGTGTGGCTGAAGACTGAGATTGTTAGGCGCTTATGGGTTGGACATGGAATCAGCTTATGATGATGAATTATTTGATTCTGTTGGAGAAATTGTTGTGATGTGACGGAAGGCATATTTCATCATGTCTTTGAAGAGATTGAAGACATTGAAGCCGGATGCTACTCTGTCTGGCAATTAGGCATTTTTGTTGATTCCAAGCAAATATTGTTGAGGAATCTGAAAAGAGAAGAACATGGCAATGAATTTGGCTGTTATTTGCATATGTTGTGTATGTATTTATGTATGTACATCTGTACGAGATGGAGCAGCAGCTCTCGAAAGTCCCTCTATTCAGCATTATATTTGAAACCATTGGCCACGCTATCCAATGAACCGATGCCCGATCTCAGAAAAAAAAAAAACCAAAATTAATGAGAGGCTTCACTACTCGTCTGACAATTATCTCTAGAGCCATGATTCAGCGATCCTTCGCATTCCGTTGTTAACCGCAACCACAACTCTTAAAATTTTTAATTAGCACAATAAACTGTCAAACAATTCCGTTAATTCGATTAAACAGTGGAAACAATGTCTGACATCTGACAGAGCTGACAACTGCAGTGCCTGAAGGATAACAGACATACCAGGAGGAGGGTAGAGCGAGCAGCAGTAGGAGTACCAACCCCCCCACATGCGGTGCTGCACCTGTTACTGCAGCAATAAACCAAAACAGAAACTCAAATTCTCTCAATAGTAGTCCACAATCCACACTCGAAGCCCTCTCTGTCAGCCTTTTCATTTAATTGCGGTTGACTTTTGGGGTTTTGACTTACACAAGCAGAGACGGTGAGGGTGATGGTGAGGGAAGAGAGTGTGCCGGAGGGGGGGTGAAGCACAGTCTGCCACTTGGCAACAAAATGCCAATCATCAATCAAGGTGATTTGTTTCAATGCCCCCCAGCCGCACATTTCACGCTGTTGTGCACCACTCCAGGATGGACAGACACTGATAGCGGTTGGATACGACAGAGAGAGGGAGAGAGAGAGTTGGGAGTGTCAGTGTGATAGGGTAGGGCATCCAGAGGTTCATTCAGCTTGGCACATGTGGCCAATCACTTGCATACACTTCAATTGCTGTGGTTTACTCCCCGTGCCCTCTCTTTCTCTCTGTCTGACACTCCCTGCCTC